CAAGTCATGAGCCAGAGAGCTTTCGCCTCCGCCCTCCGCCCTCCGAGAAGAGGGAGCGGGTTGGGAGAGGCCAGGAGCAGCTGTCAGCTGACGTCCTCCCACACGAAGCCTGAGGACAGCAGAAGGCGGCCCAACGAGATGAGAGCCAAAGGACCCAGCCAGCTCCCCGTGTTCCTGGCAACGCCCCATCTGCCCTGCTCCACGCCAGCCCCACACACCACCTTTCGCCCCGGCCTGCTCTGCCCGCGCCCCGTCCTGAGACGTGAGGAGATGAGCTCAGGTGGGGGAGCAGCACCCTTCCTGGAAGTTGCTTTCGTGGCACCTTGCAGCCCTGAGGGCGGTGTTTGCTGATTGACACGCAGGGAGCACTGGTCACATTGGCCAGTCTCTCCGACCACCCGCGTCCTTGGTCAGACTCTCAACATCCCCGTGGCCATCAGTTCCAAGCCTCCGGGGTAGCACCCCACAGGGGCCAGCAGCCGCCTCGGAGCAGTGGCCTCCGCTGGGGTCACGTTCCCTCTGGCAGGCACATCTCACTGGCCACAGGAGGACTTTGACACGAGCACGTGTGTGGGGACACAAGAGCCTCCCGCAGTCTTCCTCTGCCCACTCAGACGCATTTTAAGCCCATGCACACAGACGTCTCACCTGAAACCCTGCGCATACTTCCCTGAAGAAAGACCTCAAACTCAAGCTGAACATGAGTAGTTTTCTTAGTCATGGCGGTATAATATGGAATAAGTAACTTAGCCCTTGAGGTGTAGGCCTGCCATCCACCCCACTTCGCCATCACTGGCCTTGTGACCTTGCATGGGCCTCAGTTTCCATGCTTCTTAGGGGGGTTGGGGGGATGTGGATTCATCCATTTGTTATGGGGAGTAACTGACAGAGCGAACGCCGAGCAGTTCATGCCTGGCGCACCCGTGGCTGGTGCTCTGTGACAGCCACGCTGGGACATCCCGAGGGCGGTGCACTGTTGATCCAGATGTGAGAGGAGAAAAGCAGCTGATGTGCTCACTCACTGCTGTTCCCAGTCCCCGGTCATCCCCTGTGAGCCCTCTGCCGAAAACTAGTCGTGACCTCTCAGGAACCTGTGTTTCCATTTGTGCCTGACACTCGGTGCCTGGGTTCCGTCCGGGCTTCCCCCCTCGCCCCGACGCACTTTCTCGCCTGTAAACGGGCGTGATGATGTGGCTGCCTCGTGGGGCTGCTGAGAGGATTGGATGAGCTGGTGCACGCAGAGCTCTTGGAAGCTGCCTGGTTCCTAGCAGACTCTCAAAGAAGATGGTGCCGATTTGCTGACGTGGCAGTGAGACTGCTCAGTGGAGCTTAGATATAAAGCAGCTGAGATTGCAATGGATTTAGGTGTTGGTTCAGGTGTGGGTTACTGCTGTTTTGGCAGCAGAAAATCTGCACTTCAAAATGACTAAAATGTTAAGAGAAGAAAGTGCTTAAGTGGAAGATTTTTCAAAATAATATTCTACTCAGGAAAATGTTAAATGCCCTGCAGGGGACAGAGTGGATAGGGACCCCATGCACCCGGCGCCCACCTTCAGCGGCGGTGAACTAGGCCTGACCCTGTTTCATCCGCTCCCCTCCCCGCTCCCGTATTATTCTGAAGCAACCCCAGGGATGTCATTTTATTTGTAAATTTTCAGCACGTAGCCTTAAAAGATAAGGATTTTAAAAACAACAATATTAAAAACAGTCATATTATATACTACTGTTATCATACCTGAATAAAATTCATTATAATTACTTAACATCATTAGATGTTAAGTGGGAGGTTTTCAAAACCAGTTGAATAATAGTACGCAGCAGGCACTGAAGTGACTTCAGTGTCAAATGACACAACACAGCAGCGTGTCTGTCACCAGTGGTATTGGGAGCCCGTGGAGCTCAGTGTCAGGAGGGTCCCACTCCTGCTCTCGCTGATTCTGCCTCTCGGGCCTTTGGTTCCTTCCCGCTGAGGAAAGACCATTTCCACAGGGTTGTCAGAGTCGGATGAAGTAACCCCTGGCAGTGACGGGTGGAGGAGACAGTAGCCAGTACTGCCTTCCCTTCTCTTTTAGCTATAGCTCGGTTCTTGCTTTAAATCACGGTGTATGTTGGAAATGAAGGGTTCCGTCTTCATCCATCTGTCCTGTCCGATAGACAATACAGTGTGGCGTGTGGTCCGGGTGCGGCCCCCGCTGTAGAACCTTCCCGGGGAAGGTCCTCGGCTGGGGAACAGCCTCTCTCCGCAGCTCGTCAGCTCGCACCTTGTCAGCGATTGTACCGCGATGCTCACCTGCCTGCCCCTCACTTACAGGTGAGGAGAATGATTTGCACAGAGTCGGTGAGTTCTTCTTCGTCTGTTTGTTCACAGTATCCCGGTGCCCCCTCGTGATAGCTTTGCTACTTCTTGATTCATCTCGTAAGTCAGGAGTAATCAGATCTTGAAACCCTTTCCCTCTCCTTTCCCCCATCCGACAGGTAGGTCCTGGGGACACAGCAGTGAGTGTGACCTCAGAGAATTTAATGGAAGTTTAATGGGGTCATAGATAAAACTTCTTTCACGTGGAAAGTGCTGGCAGGGGTCTATAAAACACTGCGGGAGGTGTTAGGGAAGGCCTCATGGAGGAGGTGGCATTTGAGCGGAACCTGAAGGATGTGCGGGGGTTCTTTGGGTGGCATGGGGTTGCATCAAGGAAGAAGGCTGTTCCAGGCAGAGAAAGAGCGGTCACAAAGGCACAGAGCTGTGGGAATGGCGTGCCCACACTGCCCGTCTGTGAAATGCCCCACTCGTGGCTCAGCCCCCAAAGCTCTCCCGAGGTTCGCCCTTGAGTCTTATCACCCCCCTAAGCCAATATTTCTAATGGCTCCCAACAGCTCAGCCCCCAAAGCGCTCCCGAGGTTCGCCCTTGCGTCTTATCACCCTCCTGGCCCCACGGGCACTTGCCCAGTGACCCCTTCCTTCCTCCTAGGAACCCGCTCCCTGTCATTCAGTGACATCAAGACCAAGAGGCTGACACAGGTTTTAGATGTTAATGGGGCAAATGTGCCTCCATTTTACTCTGATTTTCTTGTCAAACTGGAAATGAGGTCTTTCTCCTTTAAAAGTAAGAGTTATTCTCTGTAGGTACACACATAAGAACTCTTTTCAGAATTAGCACTACATGTGGAAATATTCACAATCCAAAGCGTACAACTCTGCAACCTCTCTAAAACTTTGAAAACGCCAGGGGCATATCACAGTTGTGTGAAGTATAATATGCCGTTTGGCAGTTTATTCTCACAAGATGGGGCTTAAGCACAACAGTAAACAGATGAGAGGTTGGCCAAGGGTTTTCATAGAGATGGTGGTGGTCACGTGGTTAAACTGTCAGATCATTCCTCATGGCAGTGAGCCTATCCTGGGATGCTGTTCGGGGGCGTATGCTGTCTATTTGGGTAAATCAGAGGCCTGTTGGGATTTTTTCCTTGTTATGGATCTGTTGCGATTTGTGCGTGTGTTTATTTTAGGAAGCTGATAAAATTTCAGGGTTGTCAAATACCTATAGAAATCTCAATGTTCATTTATTTCTTTGTATCCTTGGCATTTGAAATATTACCTTATACATTGTGCTCATGTTAAGTATTGAGTTATATTGATGATATTGTAATTATTTAACGCCTCTTAAGTTGCCAAGAATTCCATTTAATCCTGAATAAGCTTCACTCCATTTTAATACATTCATTTTATAGAAAGTTGCCATTACAGAGCATAAGACATTGGGATCACATATGTTATACTTTAAGTGAAGCCTCTTGCAGTTATGTTTTTGAGATACCCCTGGGGCCTTCTGGTTCCTGGCACACACACCCCCATGCACCATTCCCCCTAGACTAGACCTAGCTAAAGAGGGCGGTGGCAGCTGGATCTCGCCTATGGAGTAGATTCCTTTAAAACTTTCCTTGGACCTTTTAAAGCTTTTTATGGAAAACTTTTTGACTCCTAAAAATCCTGTTTTGGATAATTAGGCCTAAGTAGGTGTGCTATGGACGGAATGTGTGTGTCCCCAAAATTCATATGTTGGAGTCCGAACCCCCAACATGATGGTATTTGAAGATGGGGTCTTTGGGGGTGATTAGTTCACAGGGTGGAGCCCCACGAATGGGATTGGTGCCCTTTCAGAAGAGCCGTGAGAGAGGGGGTCTCTCTCTCCACCGTGTCAGGGTTCAGCAAGAAGGCAGCGTGCGCAAACCACACTATGATGGTCTCTGGAGCAGACACCGAATCTGCCAGCACCTTGATCGTGGCCTTCCAGCCCCAGAGCCGTGAGAAATAAATGTCTGTTGTTTAAGGCCCTGGCCTATAGTATTTTGTTACAGCAGCCCAGGCTGACTTAGACATGGTGTATTAGAGTCTCATTGCTGCCATAACAAATTACCACCAACTCAGTGGTTTAGAGCAACACACTTATTATCTTCCTTCCTTGTTTTACTGTTTTTTCATTCATAGCTCCATGCACAGTACTTGACACATGGTAGGTGCTTCAGAGTCGGTTTCTTTGCTGAAACCGGCCGTCACAATGGAATCCTCTGCTGTGTGTTCTGTTCATCCTGGTGGGGCCGTGGGGGCCGGGGGCCGGCTGTGCAGGGATAAACCGGGCCCTGAACCTGTCACTGCTGCTGGGCAAGGGCCCTTTTCCAAACGGGAGAGCTCTGCCTTACGGTCCGTTTAGATAAAGAGAGAAAAGGGGATTGGCCCTCATTGGCATATGCTGTGCAGATACCAGACATGCATTATCCCGTGTGACCTCCAAGTTCCTCAGAGACCACAACAGTCACGGGAAGAAAGAGCCAGTAAAGAGAGAGCAAGGCGAGCAGTGTCCGTGGGTATACACACGTCCCAAACCAAAGCTGTCCAGTTTGCAGTTTCAGAATCTTTCTACAACCGCGTTCCATTCTCTGTTAATGTTACATGTGAGCATAACGCCCATCTAGCTATATAAACATTTTCTTGTGTTTTATTTTAGATTTCACACATCGGCAAACTGAGAGATTTTCTTCTGGAACACAGGAAAGACTACATCAATGCTCACAGGTAAGTGCATACCTTTTCCTGTGGCTTTGCTGACTGTTCTTTTCCATACTGACATCCTGACCTTTTACTTGGGGACTCCGGGGCGTAATGGGGAAGATCAGTTTGGCAGGGCGCCTACCGGGCACAGGGCTGCTGAGTCCCGATACCCCCACAGCAACATGTCCTGTTCTCATAGCCCAGGTGGTGGCGTCTCTGTGTGCACCTCACTGCTGGGAACTCAGGTGAGGGGACAGAGCGTCTCACTCAGGAAGAATGTGGAAATGCCGTGGAGATGAGCGCTTGCAGGGGGGAGGGGGAGTGCTGTGGTTAGGTTGATGTTCTTAAAAGATAAAGCATTTCGATGGAGCCTCCAGATCGGCGGTTCTCAACCTGTGGGTCGCGACCCCTTTGGGGGTCGAATGACCCTTTCACAGGGGTCGCCTAAGACCATCGGAAAACACATATATAATTACATATTGTTTTGTGATTAATCACTATGCTTTAATTATGTTCAATTTGTAACAATGAAATTGGGGGTCACCACAACATGAGGAACTGTATTAAAGGGTCGCGGCATTAGGAAGGTTGAGAACCACTGCTCTAGAGACAGTCTCTGGAGCAGGTGGCAGCTCTTGCAGACCGAGCGCAGGCAGGGTGCAGGTCCTGGCAGCGAGGTGCAGGTCCTCGTGGCGGGGTGCAGGTCCTTGTAGTGGGGTGCAGGTCCTCATGGCAGGGTGCAGGTCCTGGCAGCGAGGTGCAGGTCCTCGTGGCGGGGTGCAGGTCCTTGTAGTGGGGTGCAGGTCCTCATGGCAGGGTGCAGGTCCTGGCTCCTGCCCTCCGCCCTCCGTGTGCCTGGGCGTGTACACCAGGCAGTTGTGTGGGTAATGGACGTTGGATTGGACCTGGGAGATGACAGAATCAGGAGCATCTCGGGAGGGTTTCATCTCCGTGAGACGAGGGGATTGGCCCCAGAACCCCTCCTCGCACGGGGCCGGAGAATGGAAAGGAAACCCGCTTGTCAGTGTGCCCAGGGGGGACGTTTTGTATAACCGCTTTACCCGAGAACAGATTAACCCCGGGCGGATTTTAAGTAACCCTTGCCACTTTGTCACTGAAATAGACAACTTTATACATTTAAGTGTATTCCATTTGAATAACTAAAAATATACTAAAGTTATTGCCCTAATTCCTAGGACCAAGAAGACAGTATTTTTAAGTTCTTAGTTCAAATAGTCAGTGAACACTAGATGGCAGTGTAAGCTGTTTCTAAAGGTGTGTTTGTATAGCAAGTACTAATCTTATGGTCCATAAAATGGAAGCTACAGTTACTTTGGGGAACTTAACCACACGATGTAAACCTTCACTGCCCAGCTCGTCCGTGGGCATCCATTGTTAACTTCCCTCGGCCGTGAAAAGGCTTCCGGCTGCGTGACGGCTGTAAACGATGGTTTAGTTCAAGCCACCCCCTCATCAGCCTACAGACCAGTGGTTCTCAACCTTGGCTGCACATTAGAATCACCTGGGAATCTTTTTAAAATCCTGGTTCCTGGGCCTCATCCTCCGGAAATTCTGTTTCTTTGTTATGGGGTGGGGCCACAACATGAGTAACAAAGAAACAGAATTTCCGGAGGATGAGGCCCAGAAATCAGGATTTTAAAGAGATTCCAGGTGATGCTAATGTGCAGCCAAGGCTGAGAACCACCCCTATAGACCCAGTGTTTCCTCAGCCAGGCTCAGCCTCTGCCCTGCGGCCACGTCCAGCCCACTGCCTGTGTTTGAACAGCCGTGAGCTAAGAATAGTTTTCACGTTTTTAAACGGCTGGGGAAGAACAATAAACTTCTCCACATATGAAAATTCTGTGAAATTCTGATTTCAGGGCCCGTTAATAACGTATCAGAGCAGCACCGTGCCCGCTCGTGTGTGCATTTCTGTGACGGCCGAGTGGAGCGCTGGGGCAGGCACACGGCCCTCAGTGGAACGTGTTTATGTCAGACCCTTTCAGAAAACGTCTGCGGAGCCCCGCTCGAAATACTCAGGGTGATGCTCACTCAGCAGCTGGTGAGGAGACTCAATAAGACAGTGCCGTTGAGATTTGGTGCAGAAAGAAAAAGCAGCGGTTCAATGAAGGGCTGCTGTGTCAGGGCGCTGCCCTGATTATAGCGTGCCACCGCGGCAGTTCTCTCGCACAGCTCAGCCCCCACGCGTGCCTGTGTTCCCAGACCGCCAGGCCAGGTCACGCCAAGGCCTTTCTCGGACGCCCTCCGGAGAGCGGGCACTGCCTGAGCCGTCCCCGTGCCAGCCTCAGTGGCGGCGGACGCTGGGCCTTCCTGGCTGTGCACTGTGGCTCCTGAGCATTCCTAGTCTTGACCAGTCCCTCACCATTCCTGGTCACAACCGGTCGTCGCCAGCTCATGTGCTCTGAGTTCCATTCCTGACCTGTTTCAGTCCCTTTGAAAGAGCGAGGGCTTCGGGCCAGGCACACCTAGGAGCTGGCGTCAGCTCGCCGAGTGTTAACCGTGTGTGCGTGCAGCTCCCTTCACGGCTGTTCGCATCTTTGTAAAACCTGGACAGTTTTTCACAAGGATTGACTGTGAGTGTTCTTGGCACACGTCAGTCCCTTGGTGGATAGAAATGGAGTTGGAACCCCATTTGACCTGTGATGCAGTTGGGGTGATCACTGAAAAAAGAAAGCGCCTCTTCTCCTGCCAGACAGAGGGGGAGGGAGGGGGGAAAAGGTGGGAGGCAGGAGGCAGGCCAGCATGATGCCGTGGGTGTGGCACCGGTTCATCGCTAGTAAAATCCTGCTAGTAAAATCCCGGGTGGCAGGCAGGGCTGGGTCAGGGGGCGGTGGCCTTGATGCGGGCTCCTGAGTTAAACACTCACAGCCGGGGATGCCACTGAGCAGCCACGGCTCCTGGAGCTCAGAGAGCGGGCAGGTCCCACATGGGGCTGTGGATGCACGTGGGGCCACATTCCTGCCAGCCCCTCTGCCAGGTGGTCAGAGGGAGGGCAGGAGGGAGGAGGCTGAGGGGGAGGCTGGGAGTCCTGGGCGACTCCTGCCCCAGAGCATGAGGACTAGGAAGGAAGCGTGGCCTCAATGCCCTAGATTCTCTCCAGACTGAGAGAGGCCGCCCTCCCTCCTCCCAGTCGGCGCTCCCGCCCAGAGCCTGACTGGGAGGCCTTTCTCTCTCCCTCCTGCCAGCGTCGTGCAGCCACGGCACTCCAGCAGCATTTGGATGGAGTATGATGGTGGAATTGAAAGAACATGTTTAGAAATATTGCGTTCAGACCCATAAGGCTCTGTTAGTTGGACATAATTAGGAAGCTGTAATTTTTTCCATAATGTAGAGCTCAGACTTTATTGACCCATTTAATTTTTTTAATAATGACATTTTACTAGAGCAGAACAGCATGCAACCTAGGTCGCCTCTGGCTGGGTCTTTTGAATGATTTCATTTAAAAATAAGTTCCCACTTCTGGTAGATGGACCATTTCTGCAATATCCTGGCAACAAGACAACACCACAGAGCGGGGGAGGGGGGCGGTGGTCTCTTGGTTTCTGCTGTTGTTACTAATAGAATAACCATACTGCTAATTTCCTATTTAAAAGGTTAACATAAAATGTGCCCTAAAGAAACATAACCTTTTAATTGAGTCATCAGTTTTATCAAATTAACCTTTAGGACATTTCCATTTCACTGATCTGAGGTTCCATTAAGTCAAAATACAGCAAAGGCGGATGTTAATCGAATGTTCTCAGAGTTAGTCATTTAGAGGTCTGCTCTGACCCCGGGTGAGGAAGTGAGCAGCTCTCTTTGTCCTTGTCTCTGACCCCGCTACCCCAACTGGGAGCAGGGAGCAAGCCTGAACCCGTACATGCCTGCAGACTGGGAATTGAACCTGTGACCCTTAGTGTGCGGCCGATGCTCTAACCGCTGAGTACACCACCAGGGCCAAAGCCACATTTTTAATGAGGGCTGCATGCTCCAGCCGGACAGCTCCCAGGCCTGCGTCCCTCTCTGCGCGGCTGCTCCAGCTTGGCCTGTGCAGGCGCTTTTTCTGTCTGATGCCTTCCAAGTGCGGGCTCCCCGCCCTGACCGTCCTCTCACCGCTGAGCCCGGCCGGTCCCTCCCCTCCTTCAGTCTCAGCATGGCTGTCACTCGGGCAGGGAAGCTTATTTCCCTCACGCCCACTGGGCGGCGTGACATGCCTATTTGCTGCTGCCCTTTAATTTTGCCCCCATGCCCCCCCCTCTCTCTTCAGCCATATCCTGTCTGAATATGGGAGGATGACAGACGCAGAGCGAGACCAGATAGACCAGGACGCACAGACGTTCATGAGGACCTGCTCAGAAGCAATTCAGCAGCTGAGGAATCAAGGTGAGGTGTTCTGGGGCTCAGACACAGCCGCGACCATCCTGGGATCCTCACGGCATCACCAGTTACAGCTCCCTCTGGGCACCTGTTTAGATTCAGGTTTTAAAGCTTCCAAATCCTTTTTTTTCTGATCAGTGTTTTAACGTAAGCAGATAAAAGTAATGAAAAGGCCGTAATCTAAGTTAAATAAACAGGACCTCTCCAAACAACTAAAAGCTGACTAAGGGGCCAGGGTCAGAGAAGATGTGTGTACGTGTGTGCGCATGCACCTGTGTGTGTGTGGCAGCCTTTAGCAATCACATAAGTCATGCTCCGTGCCCGTAAGGGTCTATGCTGACATAACCTAGAACAGTGGTTCTCAACCTTGGCTGCACATTAGAATCACCTGGGAATCTTTTTAAAATCCTGATTTCTGGGCCTCATTCCGGAGAGACCTAGAACATACACGGGAACCTAATAAAACCGGTAGCTAAGTGCCGAACCTTGTGACGGGCCCATTGACTCGGCCTTAGTCTCCCCGTGTAAAGTAAGCACAGCCATGGCTGCCTGTAGATGGCAATGTCAGCGACTAGCGGTGATGGGTGTCACGTGCGAGCAGGTGCTCAGCTCTCAGTACCTGGGGCTGACTTCCCGGAGTCCAGGGCTCGGGCTTCGGAGATGCAAGTTTGCAGGAGGAAGGCACCCTGTGGCCAGGAGTCCAGGGAGGGTTGACTCCATGTCGATGGGACCCGTTGAGTGGGGGGGTAGGGGGGGGCAGGCAGGACACACCGTCCCAGGCACTGGGAGTGTGTGGTCCGCTCTCAAGAAGTGGGCGCACCAAACACCATTCTTACGCGCTGCCAGACCGTCAGCTGTGTGACTGGTTTTTCTGCAGGCTCAGCTCTCATCTCGTAGAGCCTGACGCTCTTACTCTTTTAAAAAGGCCGCTGCCCACACGCTCTTGTTCTGCAGCTGGGTGTTAAATGCTTTGAGTGGGGGAACTCTGAGGAGGCGCGTGCCGAGACCTGAGTCTTGCTTTGTGTTGCAGCCCACAAGGAGACACACTCCCAGCAAGTGAGGGAGCACAGGAGCGCCATCCTGGACTTCACCCAGGACTACCTGAGAAGTACGGCCTTGTCCTAGCGTCACGGGGCGTGTCCGTGGATGAGATACGCGCTCAGCTTTGCTGGCGGAAGACCACAGCGTCTCATTGTATTTGATGAGCCCTTTGCCCGAGAAGCCCTTTTAATCAGTCTGTGTTCTGGTGCTTCCCCTGCAACAGGAGTTTGCAAACTGTACTCAGAACAAAGAGCCATCCGTGTGAAACGAGTGGTGGACAAGAAGAGGCTGTGAGTATTGTCTGGTGGGCCCTTCGTTACTTCGTTAGCAGCCGTGATGGTGATGATGGTGAGGCGCTCGGGCTCTGCGTGGCCGTGCGGAGTGCCTGCAGAGGCAGGGCAGTGCTCCCTGAGCCTCACGCTCACAGCAACCCCAGGAGGCGGAGCTGTTGTCTTGATATTACGGGTGGGAAGGCTGCAGCTCAGGAAGTTAGGTACCTCACCCCAAGGGTGCAGCCAGGCGGAGCAGAGGCCCTTGCACAGTTTGTGCCTCTACCCATCTTGTTGTCAGTTCCTGAGGGAAGAGCCGAGCACCACGGGCAATGTCCCCGCCAGGCCTCCTCAGGCATCTGCGCCATGCCCTGCCCGCCCCCCCCACGTGCCCCGCTCCAGCACGGACCCCGCTTAGGTGAGCACACAGAAGCTCCAGCAAGTATCCTCACAGCCAGGATGCAGGCAGGCCCGACCCCAGTCTCCCATGGCACCTGTCTGTCCCACGTCTGTCCTCCCTGGGGGCTGGGGGCCAGCCTCTAGAGCCCCGGCCTACATCCTGACGCACGTGGAGAGCTGAGTCCAGGCCTGACTCCTGGTCACGTCTAACTCGGGGGAGATTTTAGGGCGTTCTTTCAGAAGATACAGTACATAGTGTTTGGGGACAAATTTTCCTATCGTGTCGGGGTCCCGGCTCCACTCTCAGGCTTGGTGGCTCCTGGAAGGACTTACAGGACTTGGCGTGCAGCCTGCCCGGAGCTGAGTCATCACAGTGCGATGGTGCAGAGCCAGCTGCGAGGGGCAGGGGCACGCTCCAGAGTCCTCTCCAGGGGCCAGCAGGCGTGCCTGTGACCGCTCGTGTGAAGCGTGGATGCCAGGGGGCTCAGTAGAGACTCACCGCTCGGGGATGGTCGTGGAGGCTGGTCAGGTGGGCACCTGCTGCCTGGCCACAGGCCTCCACACAGTTCAGCACATCGAGCCTTATCAGTTGGGTCTGGGAGTCAAGTCCAGGTTCCCAGGCACCAGCCACGGGCCAGACTGCAAGTCGGCCGAGGTGAGCAGCCTCCGCCTGCTGTGGTGACGCTTCTGTACACGTGAGGCAGGTTTGGAACTGCAAATGCCAGCCCATCTGTGGGAGAGTGCGTGGATGTGCCGGGTTACCCGTCAGCAGGGACTGTAGTACACAGGCCCCGAGAGCACAGGCAGAGCGGAGCCAGAGGTGACGTCTCGGCCTCACGGAGCGCAGAGGCAGCTGGGCTGCTGCACAAGCATGGACAGTGAGCCAGCCTCGCAGGGCATGTCACGATGAGTGAGGCAGCACCACGTTCAGGGGGGATGGAGCTACCAAGAAGCATGGCCTGGTGCCTCGGAACCCCGGCTGCAGCCAGCCGCCTGTGTCCACATCCTGGCTCTCCACGTACACGCTGTGTGGCTGTGGGAAGGTCACTCAGCTTCCCCATGCCTACCTCTCCTATGTACATGGAAGCCTTCACCCTGCCCACCTGGTTGAGTTGTTGTGAGAACGAGTGAGTTGGTGTAGGTGGAACACTGGCACGAGCTGTCACTATGAGTTAATGTGCACTGTTATATACTGTTCAGCCTTTGTCATGGGTTAGGCAGTATGTTAATTACCTCCTTTAACCCTCACAACCACTCTGTTCGTATTAGCAGCCTGTGGGAGTGGAGGCTCGGAGAACCTGGGACACTGCCCAGCATCACAGCTGGACTGAGATCTGAGCCGCGGGTAGGCGGGCCGCTGGCAGTGGGCTTGGTGTTGGTGTTGAGAGCACAGTGTCTGGGGAAGTGATGGGGAAGGTGCGGTCAGGCAGTCTCCAGGCGTCTGGGAGGAGAGGGCGGCCCCTGGGGATGAGTGATTTACCATCGAGACGGCCTGGTCGCTGGCTCTCACCCCCCAGAGGGAGAGATTCCAGGCTCTGCTGCCTTGTGCCAGGCGGCCTGGCACTGAGACTTAACAAGCACCCAAATAAAGCAAGAGCAGGCTTTGCTGCTGCCTCTCGGTGGAAGTTTTCTCAAATTAAAGTCAGTGAGGTGGGAACTGTTCTCATTCGGACGTGAAGCACACCTTGTTTGCTGCCAGTTATCTGGCCTGTGCCACTTACTCTGAGCATACAGCCCTGAGGAGGCACCTGTGGCCCTCACGATGGTCCACCTCCTTAGCCCGTCCTCCCTCGCTCAGAAGGTGCTGCTGCCCTTCAGAAGAGTGCCCCCCTGTGAGGGCAGGCTCGGGGCGAAGGCCGCTTTCGTTGCTTGTTCTGTGCAGTCGCCGTGGACTGAGGTGTGTGCACTGCACAGGACGTGTTCACAGCTTACACCGCAGGGACCCACCCCAGAAGTGGGTGACCCCTGAGCTGGAGATGAGCCACGAGTACCTGTCAGTGTCACATTGCCATCATGATTCCTGTGCTTCCTCTTCATCTCTACAGTCTCGTAGCAGAGCCGTGACAGCCAGCTCATTGGTCTGGTCTGGTCCGTGCACCACGCTGAGTACACTGGCCTGACCGCCTCCTCGCACGCAGGATGCAATAGCTGAGCAGCGGGCGGGCGGCTGCGGGCAGGTGGCTGGGTAGGGTAGCGTGAGGCTCCCTGCTCCCGGGAGTGCTCGGTGCCTGTGGCTGGTGAGAAAAGCCACTTTGGAAATGATCGTGCCACCTCATTGCACGTCAGCCATGCCTTTTCCTCCCCAGAGCCGGTACGGGGCCATAAAAGCAGTGCCGTGCCCGGTGTGTGAATGACTTTTCCCTAATACCTGCATAGGGCTTTATTCCGGTCTGCAAGGAACTTCTCCCGCGTGTTTTCTTGTTTCAAACTGAAAAATCCATTTCTCATCCTCTTTTCTCTCTCCTGTTGTTTTGAAATGTTCACTTGAATCAGAGAGGGGACCCGGAGACAGACGTGGGCCAGGTGGGAACTGCCGATGGCGGTGAGGAAGGTTCTGCCTCCAGTTGGAGAAATTAACCTAAATAAATCACGGGCATAAGCTGGTGTTTCCGACAACCTTTTTTAAATGGCTTTTTTCAAATTGCCTCCACTAGATAATTTGTAGCTCCCCTGAGGGGTTCGCTAGGCGTTCTGTGTATAAGCAGATGTGTTTTTATCACTGAGGAGCAGGCACTGAACTTGGTCGGAGTCTGCCTGCCGCACTGCAGCCTTTGTTCACGTTCAGCTGGAGACGGGCCATGGCACACTCTGGACACGGCCTGGCAGGCAAAGGGAGCCCTTCGTGTAAAGTCAGTTAGCGTCGCCCTGTGAACAGTGCCGCCTGGCAGGTGGAGTGGGGCGGGGTGAGGGTGTCCCGCGAAGGGGGCTCCCAGAGCAGGTCAGAGTGGGCGCAAGCTGAGGAGCCAAGAGGAGGGCCTGCGCCCTGCGTGGGGAGGCTGGCAGTGAGGTGCGGCCAGGTGTGCTCAGAGGACTGACCACGTGTGAGCACTGTGAGGACCATGGAAGCCAGGTTTCTCACTCCCGGAGACCTGAAAGGCGCAAAGCCAGCAGGAACCCTGTGGTGTTGGATTAGAATGGAGGACTGAGATATAGAAATGAATATGGCTGTACGTGTATGTGCACAGGTATGCAGGTGCGTGCGTATGCTCCTAGCGCTGCCTCTGGGGGGCCGGGACAGTGACCCCAGTGGCAATAGCATGGGCAGCGCTCAGATCCTGGCTGTTCCATAGCTCTCAGCTTCCAGAACCTGGGCCCAGGAGAGATGACTGACTCAGGCAGGCTGAGTATAAGATGAGCCAGAGAGCAAGGGAGGGCTCAGAGAAGGGGCGTGTGAGGGCACCAGCCATTTGAAGAGGCTTCTCCTGGCCACATAGGGAAGGCCCGACTCACTCACAGCGAGGCTGTCCTACTGAGTGGCTGGCCCGTTGCTGTTTCCAGGCCATGGAGCAGAGAGGGCTGAAGACGGTCCAACCCCGGTGTTGGGGGGAGTCCCGGTTGAGTGCCGAGAGCGCTCCTGTGTTAGGACACACCAGGACTCACAGGCGAAGGGCGTCGGGGCCTGTCGCTTCCCATGGCCCTTGACCTGCAGCAGACTTTCTGTGACTTTTCTCAGTAGTAAGACTTTGTACAGCACTTACATTTGACATGGGGCCTTTTTTATCTACTATTTTGTCCAGTCTTTGCAACAGCTCTGAGTGATATGTGATTGGCAGCCGGTTTTTCGTGCACAGAGCGGTGGGAGGGGGAAGCCGGTTCTCTTCCCTGACCCCCTGGTGTGCACAGCCTGAGCCGAGGTCCGTGTCTGTGCTCAAGTAGTAAGACTTTGTACAGCACTTACATTTGACATGGGGCCTTTTTTATCTACTATTTTGTCCAGTCTTTGCAACAGCTCTGAGTGATATGTGATTGGCAGCCGGTTTTTCGTGCACAGAGCGGTGGGAGGGGGAAGCCGGTTCTCTTCCCTGACCCCCTGGTGTGCACAGCCTGAGCCGAGGTCCGTGTCTGTGCTCAGTGCTCCTGACCCTCCGGCTGCTCCAATGGCTCCTCACGGCCTTCTCTGCCCACAGGGGGGTCGCAGTGCGTCTGCAGCTCAGGGAGAGCTGGCATCTTTATGGTGTTTCCTTTTTCTACCCAAGAACGTCTGTTTTCTCATTTGTTGCAGTAGATTTTGTATCTCTTAAGAACATCTTTTAGTTTTTCACATATGGCTTTTAAATTTTTTTGTTAAGTAGTTAGTTTATGCTGCAGGGTTTTTTGGGTTTTTTAAATCTCTTATTGCTAGCTTTTTATTGTTTGTTTTGGCATTGCAAATGGAGAGTCTCTTTTTTTATATCTCCTAACTGTAAACAGGCACTTTTCCACAAACATCTAAGTCATTTCTTTTGTGACTATAAGCAGTGCTGTGATGAATATCCTGTAACTATATCTCTGTGCATGTTTGTGATACTTAGAATAGCAGATGGCATTTCCCAGAGGCCACTGCACCTAAACCTGCCCATCCCACACGCTCTTCTTAAGATGTGATGTTGTCGCTGCTTCCGAGGGAGGACAGGTGAGGGGCACAGCCTCCTCCGGCCTCCTCCTGGGCCAGCTTCCCGAGGTCACCTCCCGGCCCAGCACTTGCTCCCTGTGGCCGGGACAGGTCTCCTAACTTCCTCAGACCTTTGTTTCCCCCGCAAAAAGGTCATTAACATTGGTGCCTGCCTCCTGGGGTGGGTGGTATCACACTCACCCAGTGAAGGGCTCAGAGGATGCTCAGTGCACAGTAAGCCTCAGTAAACAGCTGGCACGGTGCCGTCCTCGGTGTCGTTACACGGCTGTTCCCTGCAGTCTCTGCCTGCTGCTGTGGGCTCGATCCCAGCCCTGTTTAGCGCTCTGCCTCGGATTTCCATCGCGCCGTGCGGTTCCAGTACAGCTACCACCAGGCTCGGTGTCTCACAACCAAAATTGTTTCTGTTCCTGGCCCTTTACTGACAGGTGTAAAGTGTCCACTCGTCCAACATGTATTTCTTAAGCGCTGAATGCCAGGCCCTCATCCGGGACCTGGATACACAGCAACAGGACTTAGAGACCCACCTGCTCTCAGAGCATGCGTGTTGGAGCGGGACAGGCCGTGAGCGGGGGCGGGTGCCGGGGAGTGGACGGAAGCCTGTGGGTAGGAAAGTGGGAGAAGGCCTCAGCGGGTGAGACGGACTGAGCCCAGCAGGTGGAACACAGCACAGCCGTGGAGGAGCCGGGGCAGTGCCGCTGCGGCTCCGGAGGCAGGTTGGTCCATCCAGCGGACGTTCAAAGATGACCTTATGTTTACGCTACTCTACGACGTTGCTCGTGTGTGTCATGTAACAGACATGTGTGTGTGGTGTATTCGGCGACACTGCATTGCTGCGCTTGTTGAACCGTGTTGCGTGTGGTGTCAGTATGGGGGCGGGTTCCTGTGTTTTTTGCTCCAGCACCTGCTGACCGCCCTCCCCTGCCCTCACCCTGCAGACCATGAGCAGGGCCTTGGAATAAGTTCCCCTGTTCCCCCTAGAGGGCGTCGGGGTGGTCCTTGGGCCGGAGGTGCAGCTCTGCTCTCAGGCGCAGAACAAGCATGTCGGCCGTGTGGCTCCCTCCTGTGGTCCAGATGGAGTGCTGTTGCCTAAGTGAATGCGATGGCGGCAATCCCTTTCAGAGCCAAGCTGGAGCCAGAAGCAACCGCAAAGACAAGGGAACCCCGTTCTTCTGAGGAAGTTTCCCTGGACCCTTCGCAGGACCCTGGAGAGAAGCCGGTCGCCGAGGAACATTCAGGTAACAGTCCGATTCACAGCCGTGCTTGCGCCCCTTCCAGTGACCTGTTGGCAAAAACACCACGCGGGAGAGCGGGCGCGCAGCCCGACAGGCGTGCTGTCTGCGTCCCGTAGAGCAGGGGGGACCGGAAGTGGCAGCCTTTCCCTGTCACAGCGGATCATACGGCCGCTCGGGGGACAGGTGGGAGGACCCCATCCCCGGGAGCTGGTGGGGCCCAGGAGGAAGGCTGACACTGCTGTGCCCAGGGGGTGGGACTGGGCTCCATGGGGAGGAGCCGTCCAGATCTCTGCTCAAGGGGCTGGCGTGTCAGTCGTGTCAGTCACAGGAAGGGGGTGCTGTGCGCTGCTCCCGTGACCTGGGGCACAGTCAGCAGTGGCCTGCGTGGAGCTGACCTCCAGCCTCAGGGTGGAGCAGCACGAGGGGTGGGGGAAGCCTCAATTTTGAGGCGCCGCCCTGTTTGCTAGGGCAGAGGGAGCGCATGACTAATATCAGAGGGAAGAAAGCACGGGGGGCCAGTGAGGCACACGATGGTCAGAGGGTGGGATTAGGCCGGGAAGGGGTGAGGCCGGGGCCTGGCCTGTCTGCTGGCATTGGGCCACCAGGAGGTCTGGCTGATGCCCACGGCAGGCGGGCAGCATGGCCCAGGGCCCAGGGGAGCCTGGTCTGAGCGGGAGCTCCCTGAACACGCTGGCCGGTCCCGCTCAGAGCTGGCTCTCGCTGGCTTCCGTGTTCCTCATTTTGTGTTCTTATCCTTTAAAGTATAGAAGTAAAAGCTCGACATGGATATGGTAATGAGGTCAAGCAGGGGACCGCGGGCCCTGGGGACAGGTGGGATGAGGGAAATCACAGGTGTTCTTACCTGAAGATGTCATCTCAGAAAACACACGTCCGCTTCCAAAGCTGCTTTCAGCCTGGCTTCTATAAACGTCTCTTATATGTAAATTGTGTAGGTATTTTACTTGTATATTATATACAATTATCTACACGTGTGCCTTACCAATATGATAGCAGTTCTGGCAGAAACAGCCATGCAGCCATTCTGTTAAACCGTGCACGAAGTCGCAGGCGGCGTGGGTTTCTGTGACGATGTAGCCCGAATACCCGCCTGTGCGCATGGTCGGCCCAGCCGGCTTCTCTGCTCTGTGCTGTCCCGTGCTCCGCTGCCTGCGGTCTGAGCAGCAGCTCTCCTTTGTCCATCTTGAGGGCTGAGATCAGCCTTCGGGTACTTGGCAGCCCCCAGAGGCACCACCGACACCAGACAGAGTCACCTCTGGGAGGAGAGACCCCATCGTGGTCTCCACCAAGGTGGCTCGGTCCCTTCCGTCCTCTCCCCCTCCCCCTCTCGTCCGCCGTGTAAAGTGCACAGGCCTCGGACTGGCCCTGGGCAGGCAGCCCTGCTAGGAGCCTGTGCTCAGTGCTTCGTGGAGGACACAGTTCTCCAGCACCCACGCCCAGGTCCGTGCTGAGCCCCGAGCCTGTGCGTGGGCCGGCACATGGTGCGTCATTCACGTGAGAAACAGCAGCGAGTGGTCAGGGCGGGGAGCTGTGGTGACGTGGGAGCGGGTCCTAGCGGTGGAACCCTGTGCAGCGATTTAAAGGCTGCGGCAGATCTCGGTGGACCCGCACAGGATGGTCTGCGAGGTACATGGTAAGTCATGGAAAGCGCGTTTTAGAGCAGTGTGTGACCACTGCGATCTTTTAGTAAAACAGACCACCACACGCAAAAGCATTCCCTCGTTCGGGGGGGGGGGGGGGGCAGGGAGTTGGTACCTGTTTGTGGATGTGCCTCGATAAAGTTTATAGGGCTGCATCAAAGCATAAGAGGGTCCTTCCGGGAGAGGAATGGGAGGAAGGGTGGTTTGTTCCTGTACTCTGTGTTCAGATGATTTTTTTACAAGAAAATGCCCATACATTCCACAGTCTTCAGAAAGCATAGGGAGGGGGTGTGTTTTGAAGTAAAATAGCATGGGAAGGCCGGTCCGGAGGAATGGCCATTGGTTCACAACCATCACTGAAATCAGTGCAGTACGCATAGGTGCCCTCCACACACAGGCGCGCGCGCACACGCACACATCAACACACGTGCACACGCATACCTACGCGCGCGCACACACACACGGGTCTAAACACCGTCCAGGAGCCCGGCTGCCGGGCCTGACTGTTGGCCGGCAGGTGACTGAAGATGGACGCCCGTGAGCTCCCTCCCTGGTTTCCATGTCTGCATCCTGCAGCCCGTTCTAAAATGAACATTTGTCTTCTGTTTATTTTTAACAGAAAAGATTCCAGCTGAAGCGCAGCCCGAGTTGGGAAGCTGGGGAGATGGCAAAGGCGAAGACGAGCTATCCCCAGAGGAGATACAGATGGTAACACTGTTCTTTCTGCGCGCGCAGTTTCAGCCCGTTTGCAAGTCTTATTCAGTAGGAAGTCGTCCTGCACGCCCTTGCCCTGTACACCAAGTTTTAAAAGTTACAGCTATTTTAGATACAACTTATCCACTAGATTTCCTAATTCTTGGTATGCTTTCTATGTATTTTAAATTTGCAGTCGCATACTTAAAGGAGAAATTGCCTTGGAATAATGTTAGATATCTTTTCAGCAGCAGTAAAATGTCTTCGAGACTAAATGGTGTTTTGTAGTTGGTGCTCTGGCGCCTCGTACTTGTGTGAATCGTTGGTGCTGTGGTAACGTGAAGAAAGCATATAATGACTGAACGATGCCAAGAGTAACATCTTTTAGTTCCCTGCCCTGTAGCTGCCAGTTTGCCAGCTGGGCGAGTTCCCAGAGAAAGTGCCGGAAGCCTTCCTGAGACCTGGTGTCAGTGGGTGCTGTCGGCAGCGCGGCCTTTGCCCGCTCGCCTGAGCCCGCCAGGCCTCACTGAGGGATGCCCTGCGCTCGGCTGGGGAGGCAGGTGTGGTTTTCAACCACAGCCTGACCGTGGCCGCCCTGGAGTGCGGGCCGCTGTCCAGACAGGCGCTGGCCCCTGGCAGACCTCTCCGGTCCTGTCCCCTGCGCCCAGGGGACGCTGCTCCCAGGTGGCCTCAGGAACCCAGGCTTCTGTGCAGGCCCTGCGGGGCACGTGTCTTTGGCTGCAGCGCTTTTGAGACCTGAGTGTGATCTCCTGTTTAATGTGTTTGTTTCCTTGCAGTTTGAACAAGAAAATCAGCGCCTCATCGGTGAGATGAACAGCCTGTTCGACGAAGTGAGGTATGTGTGCAGCTCCTGCTGGCTCGTGGCCTCACTATAGCTCCAGAACCCGGCCTTCTCCCTTCCTGTGGGCCTCCTGGTCCTTCCTCCCCGGCAGCTCCACCACGGCCCCGCTCTCCCTCACGTCCCCTCCTGCCCCTCAGCTGGTCTGGGAGGGGCCAGGAGCATCTCTGCTTTGCCCAGGCTGGAGCCCCGCTTCTGCCACAGCCTCTCGCCTCTTCCCCTGTCGCTGCTTGTGCTGGGACAGCGTCACCTCCAGTGCCCTGTCCGCTCAGCCCACCCCTGCTTCCCTGACACGGGGAGGGCGCCACCCCGGTAGGGTGCTCTCAGGCCAGAGGGGGTTCCCTTCCCGCAGGGAGTGGCCAACGTAAATACACCCTCCCCTGACCCCCGGATCAATAAGGGGCTCAACATCTTCTCACATTTTCTCCGACTCCCTCCATGTCACTGGGCACAGTCTAGGCGCAGGCCTGACAGGCTTGGCTTTTTGTAACTGGACGCAGCCACATGCTCCTGGCCCCACCCTCTGGCCCAGAGGCAGGGCACATGGATCCGCTTACGCGGAGGGCGATTTCCCACAGTCCGACGCACCCCACCGGGCTGCAGACATTCAGGGAACTGCCCGCCCCTTCCCCAGCCCAGCGTGGTAACCCCTCCCCTCTCACCGGTGACAGAGTGTCCCCCTCCTCTCACACATCTTCACCCGGAAGAGATTTCTTTGGAACTGTGTGACCTTCCTGTGAAGATGGCTAAGCACTAATAGTGAATCTGTGATCTCTTTTTAATGAAGGCAAATTGAAGGGAAAGTGGTTGAAATTTCCAGACTCCAGGAGATCTTCACAGAGAAGGTTTTACAGCAGGTAAGAGGACAGCTGTTTCAGGGAAGAGAGGAAGGTCCTGGGCGCTCGGGGCACCGCCGAAGGGGTCTGTCTGGGGCTGTGCCCGCGGCCAGGCACTGCTGAGGGTGCATTCGCGGCGGAGCTCCCGGCCACGGCCTCTTGGTCTCGGGCAGCTCTCCACGTGGACCCTGCCGGCCAGGCCCGGGCCACGGGGCCGGGAGGGAGGTGCAGGGGCCTCGGCTCCGCAGGCCCTCAGCCGGCAGGGCCGCC